AGAGCTCTAGCCATAAAAAAAAATCTCCCTAAGTAATTACATTAACTTCACATTGGTTATTAATCAGCATGGTAGGAAAAAAAAGCCTTATGGAAAACTTTGCAACCATTTAATTTAATTCTGCTTCTACACAGCAATTCTGTGTATGTTTATTTGGCAATAAACCAATATAGTAATCATAATTAGAAATGAAATTCATTTAAGCTATGATTGCAAAAGCTGAAGATTTTCACAAAGTACAGTTGCTACACCAAAAAGGCTCAGCACTTTGATTTACCAATCATGATTTCAATATTAAGCAATTATTTCAAAAGGCAACTGGACTTTGTTTTGAAAAACTGGACTTTTGTTTTGCGAAAAACAAAGTCCAGTTGCCTTTTGAAAAAGCACCTTTGGGACAACCATGACCTGGATGACTGGGAATCTCCACAGACATTAAGCAGTTCTTATTTCCCAAAACAGTAGCCATTGGAAAAGAACATGTGCTAAAGAGATAATTTGAAAGAAGGATGAGGAAAGAAAAGAAGCAATCAGCAACCAGAGCAAACTAGCGCACAATTGGATTTATTTGGTTTCAATTGATAACATTGTATGATTTCAGTTACTGTTTGTAAAACATGATTTATGATAATGGTTCACACTATTATGGTTTTCTCAACCACCAATGATCTTAGTGAAAACAAACCATAAACTCTAGTAGTTTTTTAATGCCATTCCTAAATCAACCTAACTTCCCTTTGGAACATGCTAATTAGTGTCTAATAGTTTTCACAGGTTGAACCTCCAAAGCACAAGCGGTCCAATCAGTTCCAGGTATAATGATCCAGATAAAATAGGCCCAACCACCCCCCCCAAATCTCCCAACAGCATGATATGGAAGGAAACAGAATGCTCTAGATCAGTGGTTCTCAAACTTTTTTTCACCACGTACCCCCCCTTTAAATATCTTTTGTGGTCATAACCATGACCACAGACCCCCCCAAGACTTATCTCAAGATTTAAATCATAACAATTCTTCAGGCCTTTGTCGATCCCCTGTGATAACATTGCAGCCCCCCCCCCCAGGGGTCTGGGGACCATAGGTTCAGAACCACTGCTCTAGATGTCTATGAAGATTCTCAGTCATCCAGGTCATGGTTCTCCTTTTCAAAAGGCAATTGGACTTTTCTTTCTTTTTTCCTTAAAGACATTTCACTTCTCATCCAAGAAGCTTCTTTGATTCTGAATGGTGGTGGGGAGAATGGGAGGATTTATATTCCTTGCAATCATCTGGTCCTTAGTATAGATAACCCTAACTACCAATGACTGCAAGGAATATAAATCCTTCCAATTCCCCAACTCCCCCCCCACCACCACCCTCACCATTCAGAATTGAAGTAGCTTCTTGGATGAGAAGCAAAATGCCTTCAAGGAAAAAAATACAAAGAAAAGTCCAGGTGTCTTTTGAAAAAGCACCTTTGGGACAGAATGCTCTAGAGTTCTTCAGAACGGTTCATATATAAATTACACATAACAAATTTTGTACCTCTCTAATGTTGTGCAGGAATTAAAAGCTGGAAAGGAGAAGAGAGTGAATGTTATTATTTATCAGTGCAACCCAGTACTGTATCCTAAGGAAAATCAAGTATAGTGTAAGGAATATTAGCCATCCAAATAGAGTATGTGCAGAAAAGAGATCCTTCTCTCTCACATCAAATGGAAGAAGAGAGTGTCTTTTATTATATGGGTTCCAATAAGGAATCTGCCATTGAAATCAGCAAAACTACAATCTCTGACCATCCTCAAAGCAGTGGCTTTACTACAACAACATGATGCTAAATATTCATCTGTGCGCTAACATAAAAATGCATCTCTGGGATCACCAGACCGCTTCCTTCCATATGAAATAATCAATATAAAGCAGTAAGTAACTATTTAAAAAAAAAAAAAAAAAGAAAGAATTTTATGTTTTCCTAGAATTCCCAAGCTCATCTCTGGATTTGGGTGAAGAGTTTTAAGAGAACTATAATATGTGCACTGATCCATGTGCACGTTTCAGTTTCATGGATGCGAAAATAGATCATCTTACTAAAACACAATGGAAAAACTGATTCTCATTTTGGGGCTGAGGAAAACCTGCCAGAATAAGTATGAGTTAATGGTAAGTGGGCAAAAGGGGGATCTCTTGCCAGGAAAACTAGGTTGCATCTGACACAGGCAGAAATGAGTTGATCTGGCTACTCAAAAGGGTGACATTGAAATGGGGTGAAAAATATCAGAGGGGGGAGAGGCACACTTGGTACAAATGGGGTAGTAGTGATGTCCCCACCTCTGGAAGAGAAGGGAAGGGAAGGGAAGAGAAGGGAGAGGAGAAGGAGAAGGAGAAGGAGAGGAGGAGAGCCCATGGGTGAGATCTATGGTAAGCATGTGTGATCAAAAACAACCCAGAGTTCTCACTCAGGGCACAAATGAGCAAGCTCACATTATCTCATTTCAGAGACATTTTGCAAAGATAAGGAAAAGGATCTAACGCTGGGAAAGGCGAAAGGAAAGAGAAGAAGCAGACTGAATGAACCGAATTTCAGCAGTAACGGGTGCAATGCTGGAAGACCAGATTAGGGACAAATCCCCATGGAGCAAATGCATCTTATGCGGTCGCTAGGAGGTAAAAATGACTTGATGGCACACAATCAATCGATCGATCGATCGATCAAAGGGGGCGGTAGGAAACCTGCTCGAAGAGATCCGCAGAGAGAAAAAAGGCTTCCCACCCGGGAAGCTAAATGAGTGAATTTCTCTAAAAAATGTCATCTTGCTTTCCAGATAAAGCAACTCTCATCAACTCACCCTGAAAATAACCCTATTTTTTATTATTTTTTAAAAAGCATCAAGCACAAAACCACATCTGAGAGAGGAGATAGAAGGGGATGCGGTGGGGGGGTTTGAAGTGGGTGCTTACAAATCCCTCCTGGTTGCAAAGGGTTTGCCAGGCACACAGCGCGCAGAGACACACAAACACACTTCGGAAATGGGGGAAGAGTCAAATGAGAGGGTGAAGGAGAAGAGGGGCGGCGGAGGAAGCCGCGGGATCCTGCTGTCAGCTCTGGAAACGAAAAGATGGTTGGGAGGGAACCATAAGCCAGAGGGGGAGCCGGAGGGCTGCAGACGGTCAACTTCTACCCGAATTCAGCCGAAAACAGGGGTCGTGCTGCCCCGACGGACTAGTACCTGCTTCGGCCGCGTGGAGCAGCCTCCTGTTCCTCCTCCTGCTGGAAGAAGGGCGCCTTCAGCCTCCGCGACTGCCCTCGCCGGCTCCGCTTCCTGCTCGCCCCTCAGAGCCGGGGCTCAACGCAGCCGCTGGAAATCAGCTGACGGACTGGCAGCTGCCGCGACGGCTGCCGCAAGTGTCGCAAAAGAGCCGCGCGGCGCTTGGCGGCAGCCGCCTCGGCCGCGAGAGGCTGTAGCCATGGAGACGGAAAGACGGGGCGGAACGGGGGTGGGGGGGGTTCCGAGATGACGCATGGCACCGACGCCCCTCTTTCCGCGGGGCGGGGAAGGGGAGCGCGGGTTGAAGAAGAAAGCAAAGCGAAATGTATTAATAAAGGAGAATATTTGTAGCTCAGGCTTCACATGGGGCTCCTTGGTGCTCTCTGAGCTTGCTCGTTTTCTTGCAGACGTTTCATTACCCAAACTAGGTAGTATCATCAGTGCTAGAGCGAAATGTTAATGGGGCAGGAGATGCAGGCATGTAAGGGAGCGTCCTGGGAGAATATAGCGGGCGCCAGCAACTTAATGCTTTCTGACATCAAGCCTATTGTCAGCTTCCATAAGGGGGAATGTCTATGGAGATTCTCAGTCATCCACAGAAAAACAAGAAAGTCCACTTGGACTCTGGAAAAAAGCACCTTTGGGATATAAATGGGGCTTATGGTGCAAAAAAGATGGAGACAAAGATAGAGATTTTTTTGTTTTGTTTTAGCTTGGCTGCACTGATTCTGCTGTAATTGTTTTAACTGTTGCCATCAGCTCAAAGTCATGGTTTCAAGGCGGACAATCATACACGTTGAATTAAATTACCACTATTTCACTGAAGCTAAAATTCAAGTAATGAATGGCATAATTATTACAGTATTTCTTTAATGATTCTGTATTTTATATTTTGAATTTTGATCTGGCCTAAGAGCTAATCAAGGTATTAAGTAACGAATTACGTAAAACAACATATATAAAGCTTCGAGTAAAGTACCTTTGCTGATGCTATTCAATTTTCTCTGGCGAATGTATCCAGTTTTAAAAGAATCCCTGTAAAAGCACATTTTCAAAATAGCATACCACAAAGGTCTATATAAAAGGTCTATATAAAAAAAATACGGTAATCCAAAAAGTTACAGCAGAAAAGCGTCGGATATACATACTGACACAGACACTCTAGACCCAAACTTAAGACAATTTCTAAAGCTTCCGTATCTCCAGAAGAGTGTTTCTCAACTTCAGCAACTTTAAAAAGTTTGGACCAGCTGGCTAGCTGGGGAATTCTGGGAATTGAAGTCCACACATCTTAAAACCGCCACGGTTGAGAAACACTGCTTCAGAATATCACCAAAGGACCTGTATTTCTATTCCAGATATCTCATGCCCACAACCAAGATGGCAAACTCGCTCCTTTCCAGAACCTGAAAGGCTCCAGCCCTTTGGTCAAGTTGACTTCCGCCTAAAACCGAGGAGGCCTTCCGCTCTCAATCTTCCCCACTTCTTACAGCGGCTCACCATAGAGAGGCACCACGCTTAGACCGGCGCCTCTCTGCGCTCAATCGCCTCCGTGGTTGTTTTTTTTTTTTTTTTTTCCCTCCACGCTTACCGGAAGTTGGCTCTGCCCAACCTTTCCTCCCCCCCCGCCCCCTTCACCACTCTATCCCTGAGCCTGAATGACTCGCTCGGGAAAGGTTAAGGAAGGAGCGGGAAAGGGCTGAGCTCCCCGCGCCTGCGCAAAAGATGCTGTGGTGCATGCTGGGCGTGCGTCTTCCTCCTTCTTCCCGCGGTGACTGTGCAGATACCGGGCGACGAATTGCTGCTTCTGCCGCCGCCGGCGCTTTCCTGCCGTTTAGCCCCCGCCGCCCGTGAGTCGCTGCCGGGATGGTCGGGGTGAAGGTGATGGCTAACGACGCCGACTTCCAGAGCGAACTGAGCGCCGCCGGCTCCCGGCTGGCGGTGACCAAGTTCACCATGAGAGGGTGAGTGAAGGAGCCCCTTCGCCGCCCTTTTCGCGTCTCCACGAGGGTTTTCCTCCCTATTGGGAGCAGACCCGCGTCAGAGGGTTCACACGAGCGGCTTTGCAAAGCGTCGCGTGTCGCTGGAGAAGGAGGTGGCTTTTTCGGGGTGGAGGGGGTTGAGGCGGTGTCTTATGGTTTGTGGTGTCCCCTTTCCCCTCTGGGTAGCGAGGAACCGTCACTGAATAGGCGGAGGCCGATTTTTGGACCATTTGCTCAAAACTGTATCTCTAGCGTGGATATATTAAAGTCAAATTGAATCAGAATCAAAATAGAGCTGAAAGGTCTTCTATCTAGTCCAGTGTTTCTCAACCTTGACAATTTTAAGGCATGTGGACTTCAACTCCCAGAATTCCACAGCCAGCAATGCTGGCTGTGGAATTCTGGGAGTTGAAGTCCACATGCCTTAAAATTGTCAAGGTTGAGAAACACTGATCTAGTCCAATCCCCCTGTTCAAGCAGGAGACCCATTCCATTTCAGACAAGTGGCTGTCCGGTCTCTTCTTAAATTGATTAGCATCCAAATTGACTGGAATAGTAACAGCCAGTGTGGGGCTAGGATTGGCTCAATAATACCAGAGGTGCAAAAGTTTTGAAAGAATGTAAAATTAAAATGAGTAAGGTGGACCCCCTTCAACTTCTCCTTGGAAAATAAGACTTAAGCCAGTGTTTCTTAAACTTGGCAACTTGAGGATACGTGACTTCAACTCCCAGTATTCTCCAGGCAGCCACAGTTTGAGAAATACTGGCTTAAACTTTCTTCCTATCCAAGAGAGACATTCCCTCCTTTTCTGTTCTGCTTTCTGGAGGAAGAAATGGCTTTTGTCTGCTGCCGGTACTCTGATTCTGTGGGAAAGTGTTTCCTGTCAGCCATAAACCCACTGATCAATATCTTTGCAGGAGGCAGTATCTCAGATGGCCAGGGCAGGAGAACAGTCAAGGACAGTGGTTCTCAACCTGTGGGTTGGGACCCCATTTGGGGTCGATCGACCATTTCATGGGGGTTGCCAAGTAAGGCTGTCCGCCATTTTTTTTGTCCACCATTTTTCCCCCTTTTCCAGCGGGTGCCTTACCTCCCTTGGGCTGGGCCAGCTGGTGGTCGGCCTGCTCCGTCTCTGCCGCTTGCCAGCTACGCCTCGGCCGGCGCAGGGGGCGGAAACACACATGCACGGCGCTCCCGGGCAGGGAAAGTCCTCGACTTACGACCGGTTGGGTAGTCCTCGACTTACGACCGGTTTAGTTCTCGACTTACGACCGGTTTAGTCCTCGACTTACGACCGGTTTAGTCCTCGACTTATGACCGGTTGGGGTCGCGGCATTAAAAAGGTTGAGAACCACTGGTCAAGGAGATGAGGGAAGAATCCAAACTGGACTTTCATATGTAGCACAACACAGCATGGGGACTTTGAGCCTATCCACAATACGGCAGTGCTGAAGACTTCCCAGAAATCATCCCTTCTTAGCAGACTAGGCTTCAGGAGACATCAGCTTTGGTGGCTTTTTAGCAGATGCAAAGAACATTTTCCCAAAATATTGGGGAGTTATGAAGACAAGAAGATACAGCCAGGTCAGCTAGCCAGACAACTGAAGCCAGTTATGAATTGTTCACTACCAAAGTAAATAGGCAAGTTGGCAGGAGATGTAAAGGATATCAGGAGATTCTAGGACAGAGGTCAGAAAGAGTACTCTGACACCATCCAACTTTCAAAAGCCTCAGGAAAAATAAACTCAATCTCCTTTTTCCCCACCAAGAGAATGATAGTAGAGGAACCAAAAGCTAAATGTGGAGTTGTGTTAGAAAAAAACAGTTGCAAGAAAAGTCCTAGAGTGGTATGAGCTGACATAGTGGCCCAGGCCTGCGTCGTTTTGACTGGTCCTGATTTCTATACAGGGCATAGGAATTCCATTATGCTTTTCCCAGAGCTAAATAATAATATGGCAAGAGGAGTCCATACCTCTTTGTAGAGAATTTGCCATTTCACTGCCAAAAGCCCATCCAGAGGCTCTGATGGACTTTCATCGTCTGCCTATTTGGAGGCAGGAGCCAAAGGAGTGAAAAAACACAGCAGGTTCCTTTGGAGCAGAGGTCTTCAAACTTGGCCCTTTTATGACTTGTGGACTTCAACTCCCAGAATTCCTCAGCCAGCTTGCCTGGCTGAGGAATTCTGGGAGTTGAAGTCCACAAGTCATAAAAGGGCCAAGTTTGAAGACCCCTGCTTTGAAGGAACGAAAGAGTGAAAAAACATTGCAACTTCATTTTTATTTTCAGTTTTGCAATGGAGAAGGTTCTCTATTTCTATGATCTGCCCACAGGCTGAGAATGCATTGAAAATATTTTCCAGCTATCGTCTTCTGAGTAGAGACTAATTTTTTTAAGAGAAGCTGTTCAGGGAGGTAATCAGATTGGACTAGAAGTTTTACCTATAGCACTCGGGACGTAGAAAAGAAGGCATAAGGAAAGCACTGACTCCTCTTTTAATAAAATCAAAACCCCTATCTTCTTCCAAACAGGAAGTAGATGAGGAAGCATACATTGGGGCTCGCAGGTTCAATATCTGAAACACCCACCCAGTAACCAGGCAGAGGAGGCAAGAACCGAAGTAAATTTCCCTCAATATGACACCTTTATTTATCAGATAGACCTGCAGCAGTAGACATTTTGCCACACTGGAAAATACACCTGCCAGAGCAGATGGTGGCTGATGAGTTGGCTCTGCAGGAATGTAGAACTCAGAAAAAAGGCAGATTTATGCCATCTCCTCAAGTTCATCTTAGAATGAAAGGTAAATAAAGCATTTGTGGGACATGAGCATAATAGAATGCATACACTTAAAGAGGATTTCTCAATTGTGGTTCTCATTGATGGTGCCTAAATAAAGTAAAGATAATAGAACTATTTTGAACCTTGGATCTCAGAATAGTTCCAATAGATACAAAGCTTTTAAAAGGAAATATTGGTCAATTAATTGAAGTCATTCTGCTGGATGACTGTACGTAGTCAATTGACCTCCTCATATCCCAATCAGGATCCAATCCTCTGTTTTGTATATAGTGGCAATCAGTTTCAATTGAAAGCTTACCTTTTTGTCTGACATCAGCATCCAATGAGCTAACAACAATCCTTGGGGCTCTTTTAGGAACCCAAAGGAAATGGTCATAAATACCAGTTCTTATAAACCTCCAACTTTCTTTTTCTCCTTTTTTGAATCTACCTAGTCATCATATAGATTTTATATCTGGGGTCACCATTAACACAGAAGAAAGGAAGTGGTTCCTGCCCCAGAAATAAATGTGTAAGATAGGAAACAGATCCTAATATATAGAAGGCTGACTCTTATAAAACTGTCAAACATGATTGCAGCACTGGGCTTAGTTCCATGTGCTTGTCTCCAATGTAGGCTACTACAGGGGCTTCCTCTTCTATTTCAGAATCAGATCAGAAGACCCATTGGCACAGAATAGTGCCAAATAAGGCAATTTAATCTTTTCATTGGATGGCTAGTTTCAGCAATCTTGACACAGTTAAGGATGTTGTACAAACTGAATGGGGAGACCACTTCCAAACCAAGCCAGAGGTTGGAACACAATCATTACTTCCAATCAGCTCACTGGAATAGAGGACACTGACTGATGCTAAAAGCACACTCAGACTACATTATAACTAAATCTCATTTAAATACTTAGGATGGATCTTTAAACCATCAGTCAGTTTACCAGAAACATTCTCTCCTAGAAGTCAGTCTTTGATAGTCTTAATCTTAACTTGTGGGGATAGGGAAATAGGACAGTCTCAGGCTATGTATGTTCCACTAGATCAAGGAATTTCAAAGCCAGTTTGCTATCTCGTGCACAAATTCATTTTCCTAATTCCATCAAACAGATATTTCTGCCTAACTTCTTTCCATTCCCAACCCACTCCAAGGAATGTACTTGACTCAAATTAAATGTG